ACTTCTTATGGAAAGAAGCAATGCTCAGCATGCTGGCTTTTCATTGCAAAAGATTATTAGTGCAGGGCGAGGACAGGCTGGAATACAATACATTAGGAGATAAAAAGCGATGTTTTCTAGGAGATCGGAGTCCGTGTTCTGTGGACTCGCTCAGAACGACAATCGCACTAAAGAAAAACACACACTCCCTCGCCCTCTCCTCTGCTGTCATGTGCAGAGCAGTGAGGGGTTTGTGCTGCCGGGCTAGCAGCCAGGCTTCTCTGTCTTCAGCTTCTGCCAGCGCCGGAGTAGCCCGCAGCAGGGCTAAATGTAGAACAAAACTTCTTGCCCGGTACTGCATGCGTCGGGTGATAGGAATTAAACATCCCTGCAGTGGGCGGAGCCTGATGGGAAAGCTAAGACACTAGTTCTTTATCTGGTCCTCTCTCTTCTTGTGATTGACAGCAGGCATGGGGCCGATTCCATAGCCATTAACCTGCTGACTATTGGTTATTGATCTACCACTGCCTGCTGTCAATCACAAACTACTGTCTGCAAATCCTCCTAAGGCTCCGCCCACTCCACTGCAAAACACATTGGCCATTGTGCTGTCCGTGTGACCACTGCAGCATTGAGAGGGAGCTCCGCTGTACTGGGAACAGAGAGTATGTATGGTCATCACTTTGAGCTCATTGCAGCTCTGCATGTGGTGGTTGCCAAAAAATTCACGTACCGATTTCCAACAGGTATATGAATGTGTCGTGCTGAGGCCCAATGGGATTTTAATGAGTGCTTATGATACTCTTTATGAATTTCCCTGAATATAGCCTGGTTGGATACAATTTTTTAAACTCTACCTCTTCTGAAGTGACCCATAGATTTGTAAATTTTTTTTGTTCAAAAATAAAAAAGAACACATGGGGGCACCTCTAAGTGCAGTATTAAGAAGTCATTTAATGATCCATACATTAAATGACTTAAAAGCCTTGAATTAGATGAGGACCATAGCCACTCTGCTGTTGGTGTATGGCGTCGGCGTCCAGAGTCAAGTGGAGCCTAAAGTCGGATGGGCATCAGTGTTCCGGAAGCACCGGCTCTCGAACATGGAGAAGACCGCGGAACCGGAAGTGACGTCAGGGAATTCACCGTGGACCACAAAAACCGGAAGTGGCGTCAGGGGGGTGGGTCCGTAGCCTTGGTAATGCGTTTCGGAGCACCAATCAGCTCCTTTGTCCATCCCGCTTTAGGCTCCACTTGACCCTGGATGCCGACGCCATACACCAACAGCAGAGTGGCTTTGGTTCTCATCTAAGGGGGACTAAGGAAGCAAGGAGACTCCCTAGTGGAAAGAGGGATATTTCCATCCATCCATCCGACTCCAGAAAAATCCATAAGGAAGCAAGGAGACCCCGTGCTTGGAAGAGGGAACACCCCATCCATCCCAAGGAAAGAGGGATAATCCTATCCATTTACCACTAAGTCCAATTAAAGGGACACAAGCTTTTTATGACCTCACTTAACGGTCTGGTCATATACACCAGGTGAGAGCACAACCAATGAAAGTGTACAATATTTTTTATGGTTTGTTTATTATTTCGTATCACAGCACTAGAAGTGTCAAAGTCACAGACTTTATAAGGACATGTTTGCAGCAGAAATATAATTGCATTGATATATATATTTTATTTTTTTTATGTTGGACTATTATTTAATATTTATTCACATTTTTTTTTTATTATTGTAATTGGTAGTGGAGCGCGACATTATTTTTGATTTTATTTCAAGGGTTCCTCTGTGTTGAGAAAGGTTGCTCTACAGGGTAGGTAATAGACGTGGTAGAAGGGGGTGGGAGGAGTTTTAAGCATAGTGGGTTCTATCCTGGAATTCCATTTTAAGTTAGGCAATAAAGGGTATTATTTGAACTCCAAACTTTCTTCATTAGTCGATGGCTAACATGCTACAATATACAGCCTCCAAGCTACAAATAGTGACTTTCTTGGCACTGGTATATATTGTGTGCTTTTGTTTGTGCTCGCTTACTTTGATTTCATATTCCCACAGATTGTAGCCACCGTGGAAGGAGCTTCTGCCAATTTTCTGAAGGGATTTAATCAGAAATCTGCTCTGTATCTGACTTGCACCACAGAGTCAACATCGGAGGTATAGTTTTAAGCAAAATATCCCTACAGTTTATCTTTTTCTCCATTACGGACCTATTATACCTTGCACTGCACTGTTTCTCTGTATGGGGTGGCCATCTTGGTGGCGCAGGGCTTTGCTTCCTCATGTTAGAGCCTCCAAAAAGGACACCAGTGAGCAGCACAATAGTGTCATTAGCAAATCTCACCCTAAATCTCCTGAGGCTAGCAATCAGAAGCAGCAGTACCTTAAATCTTACAGTGCAGATAGATAGCTATGAGCCTATAGGGCACAGGAATGCCTAGGCACCTTCACATCCAAGTAGGTGCACTGCTGTTTTCCAGACAAAGGATAGATTTTTAGATGTTCCCTATCACTTCTTGAGTTCAGGTCCACTTTACGAGTTCAATATAAAATCTATGTAAATTTCTACAGTTTATTAAGGTCTATATTAAGTCTTTAACAGAATTTCACCCATCATTTTGGAATGTGACAAAATATCAGGTATCCAATGTCTTATAAATAAGTCAAAAAATGATTTAACCTGTGCATACAGAGGCTTCTGGTTATAATGGGATGAATCTCCAGGGTAACAGACCCTCTATGGTCTTCAGAGCAATCGTCATAGGGCACCATGCATCTGTGAACAGGGATGGTCCATAAAGTGACAGAAAGCATAAAAGGAGAAAGAAGGGTGCAAAGATATTGTGACCTAAAAAAAAAAAATTGCAGATTTTCCCCTTATTTTTTGTCTGGCGAAACAGTTGTCAGAATTACAGGCAGTAAGGGTAAATCAGTTTAACAGAGCCTCGAATATCGTGAATACCTGATAGGGATTCAAAGGGTCCTTTCACAGGGGCGATCTGATGAGGATCATCTGTCAATTTTTCATATGGACCTGATCGGATGGTCCATGCACTCCATGAACCGGTGGGTGGAAACTAATTTGTGTCCGTTTGCACCTGCCCATCTTTGGGTCTAGTCAAGCCTGCTAAACCAATGGAGGAAGCCTGCATCCTCTTCTGTTTGGGCAGATTGGATTGGAGGCAGCCAGGTGTAAATGGATACCATAGTCTGTTTACACCTGACCTCCCCTAGAGCAGAGTGGGCTGTGTCCATCTCCGCTTTGTAGAAATTGAGTGGACACGGACCTGCCATCCACCTGCACTGCTCTGATTAGCAGTGTATCAGCGGACAGATCCCCTGCCCATCAGAACGGAAGGCACCCATGTGAAAAGACTGTCCAAAAAAAAATGAAAACCACCCCAAACTATAACTGTCCTTTGCAATAAGGTGCACATGGAAGGGCAACACACATCACAAACAAACAAAAGATTTCCCAGCACACTTACCAGCCATTCTGCAAAACAACCAAATTGCCCTGTCTAACAGTTAATGTTAACAACAGAGGGTTTTGTTTGCACACATTTGCAATTATATGCGGAAGCTGCAGTGCCCACAACAAGGAATCTCAGTATATACTGCAGTCCTAACTATAATTTTTAGAGTCTTCATATTAGGAGCACATATATCAATGGATAGGTTGAGAGCATGTGTGCCTGGAGAGAGTCCACTCCTCCTTAAAGACACAGGGATGCATGTGATGCCCAGCAGTAGCACAGTGGCAGCGAAGGCATCCAGTGTGTCCCTGCTCCTAATTCAACCAACTATACAAAAAAATGGCAACCACCCCAATCTATAACTAGCCTTCCATGTGCACCTTGCTGTAAAGGATAGTTATAGGTTGAATTGGTTGCCATTTTTTTGTACATTTTAACATTCTGGGCTCTCTTATAAACAAAAAAGCAACTAGCAGTGAGGAAATACTTCGCAGAATAGACCTTGGTAGCTACACAATGAAGACTCTCACCAAAGTTTTCAAATGCAAAGAAATTACACTGTTAACAAAGATCAAACTTGTCTATGCTCTCATTCTCTCCGTTCTTACGGTTGTGAGAGCTGGACACTGTGGAAACAAGATAGAAAGAAGATTGATTCATTTGAGCTTTGATGCTGGAGAAGGATTGGATGTGTGTCTTGGACAGCACATAGAAATAACAGATCAATTTGGGAAGAGGTCAAACCGGCTATGTCACTAGAAGCCCAAATGATGAAGTTACGACTGTCCTATTTTGGTCACACTGTCAGAAGAGAAAGATCACTGGAGAAGGAAATAATGTTTGGGAAGATCGTAGGAACCAGGCAAAGAGGGAGACCGACTGCTAGATGGTTGGACACACTGACTACAGCTGTGGGGATGGCACTGGAAGATCTCGCCAGACTACCACAAAGCCGACTTCTTTTTAGAGCTCTAATTCATCAAGACTCAGACTCTAGTTGAAGGCACTTAAAAATAAGGGAGGGTCATAACCCCTGTCATTTTTTTTGTGCCGTCTATGTCTCTTAGGGGAGATTTCTCTTCAGTTCCTGTTCCATAGTCAAACCAGGAAGTGAGAGGAAATCCCTCGAAAGTGAAGGAATCATGGAGTGTCCCCATTGGAAGATTTCCTGTTCTGGTGACAACCCAATATTTTGGAATTTCTTTTACTTTCAATTTCGATGATTACAGTAAACAGGACAAATAGAGGGGGGTGAATCTGCCTAATAGGGGCACAGACAGCAAAAAAAACTCTCCACTGTATCTAAAACTAAAAAAAAAGGTTTTCTCTTTAGTGATGCTTTAGTGAGAATTCAACTGGAGGGGTACATTGCAAGGTTATTTTTTGTTCTTGTGCCCAGAGTTGAGCTTTAATGAATTACTGAGAAAAATGCAATTCCAACAACCAGTTATGAACTTCATATTGTGTGTGTTTTTTTTTTATTTCCAGAATATAGAACAAGTAATTGCAGATGTTATGATATTGAATGAAAAGTCCCCTCTACCGGTTGGATATGCTTTTATTGGGGAATACATTGATCCTAGTAAGTATTTAGCCAGAACATGTGTTATAACACTACACATACTGTACATATATTTTTATTTTTATATATATATATATATATATATAAAATATCATGGCATAGATATTCAACAAGGGGTTGGAAATATTCCTCAGAGATTTTGGTCCATATTGACATGATAGCATCACGCAGCTGATACAAGGCAGGATGGATCTATGCTTTGATATTGTTTATGACAAATTCGGACCCTACCATCTAATTGTCACAGCTGAAATCGAGACTCATCAGACCAGGCAACATTTTTTCCAATCTTCTATTGTCTAATTTTGGGGAGCCTGTGTGAATTGTCTCCATTTCCTGTTCTTAGCTGACAGGAGTGGCATCCGGTGTGGTCTTCTGCTGCTGTAGCCTGTCTGTTTCAAGGTTTGATGTGTTGTGCATTCAGAGATGGTATTTTGCATACCTCGGTTGTAACAAGTGGGTATATGAGTTACTGTTGCCTTTCTATCACCTCGAACCAGTCTGCCCATTCTCCTCTGACCTCTGACATTAACAAAGCATTTTCATCCACACAACTGCTGCTCACTGGATATTTTCTTTTTTTCTGGTCATTCTCTGTAAACCCTAGAGATGGCTGTGTGTGAAAATCCCAATAGATTAGCATTTTTTTAAATACTCAGACTAGCCTGTCTGCACCAACAACCATGCCACGTTCAAAGTCACTTAAATTCCTTTTCTTCCCCATTCTGATGCTCAGTTTTAACTTCAGCAAGTTGTCTTCACCACGTCTAGATGCTTAAATGCATTGAGATGCTGCCATGTGATTGGCTGATTAGCAAATTATGTTACCAAGCAATTGAACAGGTCTACCTAATAAAGTGGCCAGTGAGTGTATATGACTAGTGTCTGTTTTAGCTAACTAATAATACTGGTATAACTTGCCTGGACCATGTGATCCTAGATTCCTGAATAACCTGTTATTGATGTGTAACCCACGACTACATAGTGCTTGAATCATTCTAGCAAACTGACTCATTATCCCATAATTAATTTTTACACTGGATTTATGTGCTCTTAGCAATTTGTTAGCAGGAGCCTGGTAATCATGCTTTATTTATCAGATAGGGATTGTACTCATCCAACTAATCACTCCATGGGTCCCTCTGACCTTCTGTGTTTAACCTTCTGGGCATATTTTCCGCAAACACCACACAGACCTCGGCGAACAAATGTTTGTACAAGTGTACACTCTATTCAAGTCTCTGCACAGCAACATTGTGCAATGCGCTGAGATGCCATCTAATGTGCTGCAACAAAATGCACCATGTCTGCATTTTTCTCTACTGCACATCAATGCAACATTGTATCATAAACAGGACATAAAGAAACAATTGTTTTCTATGAGCTCTATCAGAGATTGCATTCTGTGCAGAAAATGCAGATCACTGCATATAGTGTGAATGAGCCCTAAAGGATTTAGTTTAGATTTAAGGACTATAAGGGCAGCCATCAGGTCCAAGAACCATTGTAGCTTTTTCCAGGTCTTATTGGGTTAGGTTTGGTTTTGTTACATTCACTGTTCTGCCTCTTCAGAGATTACAGTTCCAAAGAAGAAAAGGTTCTGCATGAAGCTGACTCCCATACATACTACAGAATCTGCCATCGCTGATCTTAAACTGACTGTGAAAAATAAGTCGCTTGGAGCACCATATACACGACTTGGGTATGTGTCCGGCCAACAAATTGTGCATTGCAGATTTTAATTTTTCTTTTGCTGACCCTTTTGTTAAAAGGAAAAGTTACCCTGTCTTGATATTGTTAAAGTGTACAGTATGTTTTAGAAAAAAAATCTAATGCCCTGCATTATATGAAAGTTTTTTTAATGTTTTATTCCTTTAAAGCAAAACTAAATCTTGTCGGCTTGGGAAGGAGGTTGGGGCTCTTGCCATAACGTCTCGTGATGCTCCTCTGTGGCCATAGGGCAGCCACTGATGATTAACTGGCATAGACCTCCTTCTATCTTGCTCCCTGGTCTCCTCCTCACACGCACGTCTGCAAGACTTCTCCAGGTCCTCCCCCATCCTCTGGAACTCACTACCCCAATCCATCAGACTGTCACCTTCCCTCCTCACCTTCAGGCGCTCCCTGAAAACCCACCTCTTCAGGGAAGCCTACCCCACCCTCACCTAACTGCTGCTCTCCTTCATTCCTCCTACCACTCCATCCCCCACAGCCACTTCCTCCTGTACCACTACCCCCTCCCTCCCAGATTGTAAGCTCAAAAGAGTAGGGCCCTCTTACCCCTCGTGTGCTGTTCGTAGCTGCTGTAATGTTTCATGTATTGTCCCCCCCTCTATTGTACAGCGCTGAGCAAACCCTTTGGCGCTATATAAACTCAATGTAATGTAATGTAATAATGTGTCTCTGGTATTCAGCTGTGTTCTCTGCATGCCAAGAACAAGCCGGGATGTACACTTGCTAGGTGTAAGGTTTTAAACTTTTTTTTGCCAGAAATCCAGGAGCTACTGCAACACAACTCTTCTTTTGGATTACAGCACACCTCCCCTAAAAATAGTTGTAGACCCTCACCTATACCCAGTGAGGTGACTGACCTCGGGTGATACACAGATATGAAATAAATCTTCCTACATAAGTTGTACCTGTCTCTTCTCTACAGCCTTCAGAGTGCTGAATTTATACAGCTTGTCTGAGTTTTCAGAAAGCAGTGGGCGGAGAGCTGAATTTACATACTGCCCAGCTCAGTGAGGAGAGCTTTGAGTTCTGATTGGAGAGAAAACCTGTCGGTAGTGACTCATACAGATAGCAAAAGAACAAGGCAGCAGAGAGAAATGACACTTAGTGCTCCAAGACAAGTGCACAGTATAGAAGAATGTGCTTTGTTCATATTTCATGTCTGAGATTTAAAACACTTTAGGTTATGGAGAGGAAGTAGTCTGTAGTTCAGAATAGGAAGAACAGGCTTAACAACACATTTTTGGGGATTTTAGTACAGCAGAGCTCACTTGATTTCTGGCAGATCAATGTGTATTTTTCTGTATTGCAGCATTTTAATCCCTTCACGCCTAAGGGTAAAACAAATCTAAATGCCTAATACACTTTTTTTAACTTTGACATGTGTTAGTAAAACCGTACATAGCATCACAACTACGTTGTACATCCAGGTGAATTATACCTTGTTTTTTTCAGGACAAATTGGGCTTTCATTTGGTGGTAAATGGTAATGGATATCTCCTGATTTTTTTTTTTTATATCAAAGGAAAACTGGCCCAAAATAGTAAAAAAAGATTTTTTTTTAATTTAGCTGTGTTTTTTATTTTAAAATGTAGCTGTACGTTTCTTGTTACAAGCATAGCCTACCACCAAAGAACAACCCAAAATAAATTCTCCAGTTTTTGGCGATCGCAGCAATACCATATATGTGTATGTTATTTGTTGTTTGTACTCGTAGTACAGCCCAGAAACAATAGTGCACATTTTGTTTTTTTTTTTGTTTTTTTTACCTAAAACACACTGACGGCAATTTTTTAAAAAAATCCTGACCTTTGACCCTGACCTTGGCCCAAATACTTACCCTTGCACTGAACTAGATCAGACCTTGATCTAGGTATTTTTTTATTTAATTTTTTAATATTTATTTATCCTTTTTTTTTTAGAAACATTTTTTCCCCTCTATGCCAGGAGTTAGAGAGATACAATATATCTCTCTCCTTCATTTAAAGAGAGAAAAAAAAAACAAGGAGGCTGGGCTGTACAGTGACTTCACACTGTGATAGCCAATCAGAGGCTATCACAGTAATCATGTGACCCGGAATCGGGAGTCCCGAGTCCCAACTGTTAGAACGGGACCCGGTGCTCTCAGTGACACCGTGGTCTTTGTTCTGGGAGCACCTGCATCCTCCTACAGGAGAATGAAAGCTCCTCCTACAAGCTTTTACCAGTGCTCTGCAGGACACTGATAGAAGTCACAAGACTGCTATATACTGCTGATGAGAAAAGGTATTTAGCAGTTTATATTTACTAGAATAATAGCATTTCCATATTCTGTGTACTGTGGGAGACCAGATATAGTGAATGCAGAAAGGTCTACTTTAATAATACATCTTCAGATTCCCTCTTCCCCCAAAAGTAGATATTTTATATAAAGTGTCATTAAACCCACATCATTAAAAGCAATATTAAAACTGTATTACATGCTGATCATACTCACTCAGTCACTATGGGATTCATTTTCTTTATTCTGCAAAAATCTTGACTGATCCTGTTGTTCTCCATCTCCCCCTTCTGTCCTTGTCCACAATGCAGTTGGGGATTTTGCAGAGCAGTGTTGGCAGCTAGTGCACATGCTCAGTTTTCAGTGTATGTCTATCCCAAGCATTTCCTCCCTATCACATCTGAGCAGCCCATGTGACTATAGAGTCACACATGTATGTGTGTACACATAGTTTGAAATGACACCCCACTCCCTCCCTCCTCCTCTGTGCCCACTAAACAGCTAAAAACAGTGGGGGTGGGACATTACATGTAGATTGATGGAGGCTTCACCTCTCTGTTATTCTAAGACACAGCCTGGAGGGACATGACACAGCCTGTGACTGGCAGAAATCCACTCACATTATGCTATTGCCAAAAAATAACACAGATTTGATTTCAAATATATATTTGTATGACAATTTAAACAGTTTATTGATAATGTATCCCAAAGGTTGTTTGCTGCTAGCCATATGTTAAAAAAAAATTAATAGGACTAGCCGCTCCTCCTACGACTGTTTCCCTGCAGACAGGATGGGAAAGAGCTGGGTCACATGCCAGCTATATGTTGCTTAGGAAAACAGATACTTAGATGTTTTTTTTTTTTTTTTTTTATTAAAATAACTACAGTGACATCCACATAAAGGGATAATGTAAATTAGGCAGTATGTGTTTAGTATCACTTTAATCCTTTAAAACCATTTCCATAATTAGGAAATCGAATGGGTGACACCAACAGTTTTATTCTCACTCATGCTGGTTAGAAGGGAAAATGGAGCATCCGAAGAATGGACATCGTAGGTACTTTCCTTTTTTATATGGCTGTCTTTTTCAGTGTCATATCAGTCTCTTTTGTGTGTTTATAACCACAGTGAGATGAGTGGCCTGGCTTTATGGTGCAAGAAGGTTCCAGTAACTGCCCCCAAACCAACACCAAAACCTCGAAATATTACGACGGGTGTCAGAGGACTTTCTCTAGACAACGAAAATCCTGCTCAGCCAGTGTAAGTGTCCTTGAATCAGTAAGACCTCTGGTCCCCCAATGCTCTAACTTGGTCTGTAACCAGCTTCCTTTTAACTAAACTTGTCTTTAAAGCAGTGTACCATAAACACTTGGATGTGTACTGAGGAGCGCCTGGTACAAATGTTTTGTACCACTTAAAGCTGAATTCCGGAATTCAGCTCCTTTGTAAAAAGTGAAGGCACACTATGAGTTAAGTCCAAGGAGCTGTGTGACATCTCCTGGACGTATTCTTATTATTCATATCTGACAGGTTTATAGTACTCCTGGAAGACAGCTATTGCTGTATTTTCAGAAACCTGATGCTGATCTTTTTATCTCTGCAACTTCTACAGTAGAGTCGTCGCAGCTTCTATGCCTCCCCTCCCCTATTCCTGCACAATCACAGAAGCCTTTGTATTATGTGAGCACATTCACAAAATACAAAGGCTTTTGTGAATGGCCAGCAGAGGGAAGGGGTGGGCATAGCTGCTCTATGTGCTTCTCTCCTCTCAGATCGTGTAGCAGATGTAAAAAAAAAAAAGAGGACAGGAGATGTCATTCACCTCCTTGGACTTAACTCTTAGTGTGCCTTCACTTTTTACAAGTTGGATGAATTCCTAGTATTCAGCTTTAAAGTTTTTCTTTTTAAATCATTTTATTGGTTAAAAGCATCAAATAACGCCAATGTGTTTTAAAGGGGGAAAAAGTTCCCTCCCCCTTCCTCAGGACCTGAACATTAGATGTCATTAGAATCATGATGGAATGCACTAGAGAACGAACGTTATGACTTGATAAAGACTATTATCTGAGTGTCATTAGGAGAAGATACAAGGGTTTATGGTCTGCTGCGTGTTTCATTACTCCCTTTCCTACTTTATACAAAACTAAAACAAAAATGTTTTGGCTATTCATACATTTTAACTGAATACAGCAAGACTATGCATATTTTTCTCTATGAGATCATTGGATATATAACTATACATATTTAAATCATGAACATGATGATGTTTACGTATAGCAGCCTGTATATAGAAGCTCTCAAGCAGTTTACCTATAGCCGCCCATATTCTGTCATAAAGTGGTTGTAAACCCTTACATATACCCAGTGAAGTAAATTACCTCAAGTGATACACAAAGAAGGAACAAATCCTCCTACAGAAGCTGTATGTGTTTATCTACTGCCCTCTCTCCTCTACAACCCTCCAAGGTGCAGAATTCAGACAACTTCTCTGAGCTTTCAGAAAGCAAGGGGAAGGGAACTGAAGTTACACACTGCACATCCTACAGAGAAGAGCTCTTAGAGCTTATTGGAAGGAAGGGACACACCCCCCTTCACACAGCACCAGAGCTGAGGCTGTCAATCACGAGCTGTGTGGTCAAGCTCCCTTCCAGTCACCATTTTTCACTTGGTGTCAGGAAAACTTGCGACTCATGCAGAAGAACAAAGCAGAAGACAGAAATGACACTTAGTGCTTTAGACTGGGACAAGTACACACTATAGAGTGATTTACTTTGTTTGAATTTCATGTCTGAGGTTTACAACCATTTTAAAGAACAACAAAAGACTTGTGTATAATAGTAATCGAATGAAGTATCAATCCAGTTACTATATGATGTGCAAGCCTCGTAAAGTTAACAAAAAATGTCCTTTACCATCCCTCACTAATCCAAATCTGCCTTCATTTGTGTCTCCCATACTCCCCTTCCCAGACACTGCTGCTCACAGTAGGAGGGTTTTTCAATAACAGAGGCAGTGCTATCAATCCAGAAAGCAGTTGGTAAGATGAGGAGTTGTCAGGTGCTGATTGACTAGGCTGCAATACTGATAGTCATGTCCCTGGCAAAATGTAGTGAAAGCAGTACAGCCTACATGGAAGTGGAAGCTCTGCTCTGAATTATGAAGCAGAGCAGCAAGGTTTCCACACCATCACAGGAAGCTGCATAGATGGACTTCACTGGCAGGATCACCATGTATTTGTTGGACTTTGCAGGGCGGCCAAGAGGAAACTGTGAGTGCAAATGTACAGCAAATGCTACAGCACCTGATTATTTAATAGGAGGCCATTGATTTACTTTATTATCACTATTTACAAATGGCCCATTTTTCCAACTGCAGCACAAATCAAGCTCCTGTTCCAAAACTGAGTCGAGGACCTTCCATCACTGAACATCCTACATATGAGTCCAATGTCTATGGGATATCTGGTGAGTTGTCAGTTAATGATGGTAGTGTAAAACAATAGCCTCCATCCAACAGCTGGGGATCACATGTGGCTTCTAAATGTCTTCATTGTTTGGGAAATGAAATATATTTTATATATATTCAAAGGGAGAAGATACAAACATGAATATGGTAGTGGTGTAACAAAATGAAAATTCTGGTGCCGAAACCGAAAATTCAAAATGCACTTGGCCGAAAACTGAAACCGAAATGCGCAGTTTTTAAAAATGAATACCGTATTTTTCGCTCCATAAGACGCACCTGACCATAAGACGCACCTAGGTTTTAGAGGCAGAAAACAGGAAAAAAAAAATTCTGAACTAATGGACTGCAGACATAGTACAGGAGATAACCAGAGACTGTGGACACAGTACAGGAGATGACCAGAGACTGTGACCAGGAGATGACCAGAGACTGCGGACACAGTACAGGAGATGACCAGAGACTGCGGACATAGTACAGGAGATGACCAGAGACTGCGGACATAGTACAGGAGATGACCAGAGACTGCACATAGTACAGGAGATGACCAGAGACTGCGGACATACAGGAGTACAGAGACTGCGGATGTACAGGAGATGACAGAGACTGCAGACATAGTACAGGAGATGACCAGAGACTGTGGACACAGTACAGGAGATGACCAGAGACTGCAGACATAGTACAGGAGATGACCAGAGACTGCGGACATAGTACAGGGATGACCAGAGAGCATAGTACCAGAGACTGCGGACATAGTACAGGAGATGACCAGAGACTGCGGACAGTACAGAGATGACTGCTGACCTTTGGGGAGGGGGGGGGAGCGGGTACCTGAATTTGACAGGTACCCGCTCTTACTTCCGCGGAGTTGTTCTTTGATCTTACCTGTTCCTCTATCCAGCCCTTGAATATAGTGTAGTATAAAGGGTTAAATAGTTAGGATGAGAACAGGTTGCTAAGCTGGCCATACACTGGCAAACCTTCATAAGAAAATTCTCAGTACATTCAAAAACTGGATGAATTGTCATTCAAAATTACTTCAAATGTTCATTTCCTTTTTCCTTCGATTTTGGAATGAATACAATTTCACAAAAAACCACATTCACTGTTCGTAATTTGACTGAGAGAAATTTTTCCCCTTTTCGAATTTCCTCATTGCCACTGTCGATATCGAGTATCAGTTTGAACCCATTTACAATTAGAAAATTGAACAAATGTTCTTAAAGTGGAGTTCCAGCTGTTTTTGTGGTTATTAAAGTCAGCAGCTTCAAAAACTGTAGCTGCTGACTTTTAATAAACACACACTTACCTGTCCTGGAGTCCAGCGATGTTCTCACCCCCACCGTCCCTTCTCTGCCTCTTCTCTCCTCCACGGCACCAACATCTCTACTGTGGGCACCAGGGTGTGACAGTGTGCGGCTTCACAGTCGGGTGCCCACTGCGCATGCGTGAGTCATGCTGCGCCTTCTATTTGGTCTGGCAGGCTTCTGGAACCTGTGAAAGTTTCCAGGAGACTGCGGGAGGGAGGAGGGGGTCAAACTTCCAACAAAAGCAGGTATCCGCTCCCCCCCAAAAGGAGTCAAATATGGCAGTGGAGGGGTGCGGGGGGGGGAGGTGGCAAATAAGAGGAGTTTCCACTTTTAGTGAAACTCCACTTTAACATAAAAAATTTCCAACAAAGTATGGCCAGCTTAAGTCTCATCTATTGATCCTTTTGAATATAGAATTCATTAATGGCTAGGGCAAAAAAAAAAGTAATATATTTTATATTATTATATATTCATGTAAAACAATACTGGAAATGTTGTAGTGGGTTTTTTTTGTATTAAATCACACTGTTTTTTTTTCCAGCTGTTGATGGAATTCCATTCACAATCCACCCAATGTTTGACAGCATAATTGTCGAGCCTTCTGTGAGTAATATGGAAATTGCTGTAAATTACCCCACCAACTATCCATTTAATGTGTTACTAAACCCGTACCCTGCATTCATTATATCCGGTCTCCCACATTACATAGAACATGGAAATGCAATTATGTTAGCAACTATAAACTGCTAAATACCTTTTCTGATCAGCAGTTAGAACAGTCTTGTGACTTCTATCAGTGTCCAGCAGAGCACTGGTTAAAGCTTGTAGGATGAGTTTTCTCTAGGAGGTGCAGAACCCCTGACCTCTATCTGGTCAATGCTCATCCTCCCTGTGCTAATCACATGCACCCTCCCAAGAAAATGAGACATGATATGTCTTATCAGGAGATAAGAGGGAGACACTGGAAGAAGGGGAGTATCAGAGAAGTCAGGATCAAACAGTATTTTTACACAATACAGAGGATTAACCCCTTAGGTCCACAGAGCATATAACAAGCATACTTTACTGCATATACAGACTGATTTTACTGTTCTGGGTTTAGTAACACTTCAACGACCTCACACTTGTAATAAACTGCAGACAGGCTGCCTGTGCAGGCAAAGCAACATACTGGTATGTAGGGCGCGCGCATGTACACAGCAGGAATAAGAAACAAAGAGATCTGTTAGTAAAAGCAGCACACATTACATGTTGTCAGGCACACCCCTTGATGGCCCTAGATGTTAACCCCTAACCAGCCAGTGTCATTAGTACAGTGACAGTGTACAGTATTATCACTGAATTAGTGTCACTGGAGATGTCAGTGGCAGCCAGTTCCCCCCTAGCGTTAGTGTCAGATCGCCCACCACACTATCGCAGTCCCAGTATAGGTCACTGATAACCTCCAGTAGTAGTATAAAAAAAATATATGTATGTGTGTGTATATATATATATATATATATATATATATATATCATAGTTTGTAGACTCTATAACTTTCACGCAAACCAATCAATATACAGTACACTTACTGGGATTTTGTTTCACCAAAGACATATAGCATTGTTTTTTTTATTGGATATGTTTTATAGCAGAAGGTAAAAAATATTGTTTTCTTTTTCAGAATTTTCGTTCTTTTTTTTTTATATCGCAGAAATTAAAAACCCCAGTGGTGATCAAATACAGAAAGCTATTTGTGTGAAAAAAATGATATAAATTTTGTTTGGGTTCAGCGTTGCATGACCACTCAATTACCAATTAATTTAGCACAGTGCTAATTAGCAAAAAAATGGCCTGGTCATGAAAGGGGTAAAACCTTCCAGAGCTCAAGTGGCTCTTTAATTCATTCAATTTGAAATATTAAGCTGATTCAACAGTGCACCATTATTCTTTGGGCAATTTTTACTATGTAGTAAGACTAGAACATGACTTTGAAGACTTACAGTAGCTTACATTTTCAAGTAATATTTGTTGCTGTCATCATTTTCTTATGTTCTAAGGAGTGCCACAATAGAGTATAAAGCAGACAAAGATAAATGGTGAAAATGCATGTCTCCCCCTTATGTTATAAATAAGGGGAAATCTTCTTTAGTCCATCATTGGAGAACTCATGCAGGGCTGACAACACTGCTCGAGATTTTATGGCAGGGGAGGCAACCTTGTCCCATTCTTTACCAGAAGTTAGAAGCTCACTAAGTTTCTGGCCGGATCAACAGGTATTTTTCTGTACTTGCATCCGTTAAAAAAAGAGAAAAGCCCCAGGGAAATGTTCATGTACTGAATAATTATTATTTTGCCAAGACATACACTTTAGCAATGCAAAAAGAAAAGGCGTGATGTTCCTGGTCACTAGGACTTACAATCTAAAGTATTTTTTATTACATGCAATGGATTTAGTCAGAAAGTTGATCCAAAAAAGCTTCATATTTAAAATAAATAGTTAGAAGTATTGCCTATTGACTTTCTCACAGAACTGACACAGAAATCATTGGCTCAGTCTTCCTTTTATTTATTCATGTGGGATTGCTTTTTCACCAGTGTTAGGTTAATAGATTTATGTAGAATTCTAAAGCCAGACCCAGTTACTGAGTTAGTCTAGGCTTAGGAAAGATCCTGACTTTAAAGTTGAGATCCACCTAGATGCCTGGACCAGCAGCTGACTCGGCCTTTCAGCGTACTGCTGAGAGCCTGTACCAGCCACCCCCTCCACCACAGCCCAGCTCTCCATTGAGTGCTGGAGGGGCAGAGCAGAGAACCGGACTGACAGTTATTCGCTCGCTTCTCAGTCTCATATGCGGCAGGGGACAGATTCAGCTTGGATCGGTGCTACAGCCATCTAGGCGAGTATGATTGTTAATTTTTTTCAAAAGCAACATTTGATATTCCTGATATGTGCCTGGTATACCATGTACTGGTATGAAAAAGTATCCCAATCTCTTGGTATTGCTTCTTTTGGGTGAAATCCCTGGCGTTCCTGCCATTCCTGTTAAAAAACTGACCACACTAAGCATGAGAATAAAGCGTGGACAGCTTTCTAGATGTGCTGGGAACCTGCTATCCTCCAATGATCAGACTTGTCCTGACACACATCCCGTGCACAGCCCGTCACTGGAAAGATCAGTGTCCTGCTGTTTCTCCTTCCCCAGCTCTCTAAGCTTCTTATACAGCTGAGAACAGAGGGAATGTGATCACTTACAAAAAAGGAAAAAAAGGTGTTTAAAATAGAAATGAACGGCAAAAAATTTGTGTATAGATATAAAAAAATATTATAAACAGAATGGGTTCTACAAGGTGAGGGTTCACATATACTTTAAATTATACTGAGCTGCATCCATTTTGTGTATCTGTCTGGAGTTCAGCTTTAATTTAAACACTTCCACTGGATTTTTAATGTTATAAATGAATAAAAAGTAGGAAACATATATGCTGTATGATACTCACTTTAAATGATATCTAAAGTTTATCTGTTTAATAGATTTGCCCGTATTGTTTTCCTATACTAGATAATCTCACCTAGCTTCCATGACCTTCGAATCAAAACCCTGGCTGACATTGAAAATGAGGTGAGCTAATTTAAACGTTTGTATCCGGGCTCAGTTACATGAGAACATTTTTTTTAACCTGCTTAGGGTGTCAGGCACATTGGGTGATTAGATCAGGGCATGAGATCCTGGCATTTGGGTGAAGGCAGAAGGCACAGACACACCATCCAGCCCCACTGTGAGCAGCCTATAAAACGTAATGAAGGCCTGAAACATTCTGTGGCTGGACAGTGCGCCAAGTGGTGCTAATGTTTAGGGCAGTATGCACCCAGAGATGAATCTCCAAAACACAAACAGTCTGCATTCATCCCTGGATGTAGTCTACTCGAGACATTAGTGCCACTCGGTGCACCGTCCAGCTGCAACAGAAAAAAAAACCTGAAAAATTCAGTATTTTAACTTGCAGCATTTTTTCTCTCAATAAATTAAACTTGCATTGTACCTCTGGTGGCAGTATGTACAAATACACACACACACATATATATATATATATATATATATATATATATATTTTTTTTTTTTTTTCTCCTGATCACCGCCACACCAGTTATATGATGAAGCTATACTGCACTGGTGACATTATGCAAAAGAAAAAAATAAACATTGTATTTCTTCATTTTGCAAAAAAATAGGACAAAAAACATACAACTTCAGAAAACTCACCATGCCTCTTACTAAACACCTTGGACTGTCTACTTTCCAAAAAGGGGTCATTTGGGGAGTATTTGTACTGTCCTGGAATTTTTGGGCCTCAAGAAATGAGATCAGTACATCAGGATTGATCAATTTTCAGATATATACCATAGTTTGTGGACTCTATAACTTTCCTACAGACTAAATAATAAAAAAGCAGTGAGGGAGGTGAAAAGCCACTAGCACTTAAAGGTAAACCAACCTAATAAAATAAATACACAACAAAAAAGTGCAGCGCTTAGAAAAAAATGTACACAAAAAAACATATGACTGAAAAGTGCTACGCAAATTATAAATTGCGTAGCTAGTGCATTTTGCAAAGCAATAAATGATAAAGATGATGCCCCATATATAAGAATCAATGGATGAATAAATAAATACAAGTGAAAATGCAATAATCAATAGATGAATGAATAAATACAAGTGAAAATTGATACACCACTATGGTGAAAAAAGTGCCAGTGCAATAAAATAACCGTTCAGAAAAAGTCCAAAAATAAGAACAGAAAAGTCAGATTTCTTCACTATAAGTGCCCCATGATATTGTGCACCAAAAAAAAGTGAAAATCTTCCATGTACCTTCTTCACCAATATGTACGCATTAGAAACAAAAGAATATGGCACCTAGCAAGAACCTCCAGCCAACCAGGACCTCCACAGGTCGCTTTCACACATAGATGGTTAGCGTTAGCCTGAAGAAAGACCTATGGGAATTGCTCACCACACGGAGCCTACAGCTTCCTCATAGGCTTCTCACTTCCCTCTGGTCTTTTTTTTTTTTGTATATTTAGCAAAAAATAAACAACCCCTGTGATGATTAAATATGACCAAAAGCTCTATTTGTGAGAAAAAAATTATAAAAATGTAATTTGAGTACAGTGTTGCATGACCGCGCATTTGTCATTCAAAGTGTGATAGCACTGAAAGCTGAAAATTGGCCTGGGCAGGAAAGGGGTAATAGTGCCCAGTATTGAGGTGGTTAAAGCCAAATCATAATGGGAATGACCAGGCCAGCAGGTATTCAGTACATATATTCCAGATAAGTATTAGGTGGTTGTCTCTCCTGTCAAACAAAGGTTGCAGTTGATCTGTACACATGTAATAAATTGGTGAAGTTCTAACATCCAATCTATTGTTTTTGTCTTTCAGTACAACTATGGATTTGTGGTGGAACGTACTGCATGCACTAGATGACACTGGATACACTGATATCAGTAGACCCTCTAGTAGCCAAACAGCAAACAATAGATATTTAGTCCCATGCTTTCAGTGCAGGTGCTCTATAGTGCAAGCACCATCTGTTATCTGCTCCCCCATCAACTTTGAGATGTGTCCTATTTCCATGGATGGTGTATGATGTCAAATCACACACTAGCAAAAAAAAAACCTTTTTATGGACTACCACTTATCTCTTAAGCTGGCCATACATGGGTCAGATTTTCTTCTTCAAAAAACCTGTCCCTGTTCCCTCATCCACGCATTTGATGTGAATGGAGGAATCATCCCCGCTGCGTCATTGTACTTTGACAATGTAGAGACTCCCCTGCCATCAGAATACACAGGTCAGTGCTGCAGCCTATTGTCTGCAATGCTGATAAAGCGAAAATATACAGACAGGGCGATTAAACAGAAGACGATTGGTGGCCACACATGGATCAAAATTCGGCCGCTAACTGCTGAGCTTTACTCTGTCTGCCTTTAGGCAATTCCTGCACTCATCTGATCAAGGAAGCCTGTCCCACCTCTACTGAAATGTTAATTCTTGAACTACTTATCCCATACAGCTATTACTTTTTGTATCTCTTGCTCTTCCTTTTGGATTGTAAGCTCTAATGCACAAGGCCCTCCTAACTCTCTTGTATTGTAACTGTACTGCCTCCATTTATTCTCATCCATGGATGGACACGGGACGTCTATTACTACAACCTGCAGGAGGGTTTGACATTGACAGACAGACAGAACTGTAGGTCAGCGCAGGATCCCCCCCCCCCCCCCCCCCCCCCCCCCCCCCCCTTACAACCGGCATGCCTCAGTTTTTTGCTAGTGTCCTAGAAGGAAGGACATATTGGGGAGATTTAATAAAACTGGATCACTCAGAATCAAGTGCAGCTTTGCATGTCAGCCAATCAGCTTCTAACGTTAGCTCATTTAATTAAGCTTTGGCAATAAAACCTGAAAGCTGATTGGTTTCTATGCAGAGATGCCCCAGATTTTGCACTCTCCAGTTTTAGTAAATAACCCCCTGTGCTTTCAGCTCTGCAGTGTTTAAGACTAATCTGTAGGTATTCTAGTAACTTCTCTAATCAAGACTCTTCTCCATGTTGTCACTGGTGTTTCCTACCTACTCACAGTTCTCCAGCACAATCATCCTCAGCCTGGCTCGTGGACTGTAAAATTATTAGGACACATTTCAGAAAATAAGATGCAGTCAGTATGGCTGATGCACTCCACAGAACAACTGTGCTGATAAGTGTACATCCTCTAGGTCAGCGGTCTCCAAACTGCGACCCGAGGGCCAGATGCGGCCCGAGGGCCAGATGACACTAACAATGGGGCCCAATGACGCCAATGCGGGGGCACAATTCCTCCCTCTGACAAAAACAATGGGGCACAATTCCTCAAAATGACACCAATGATGGGGGCACAATGCTCCCACTGACACCAATGATGGGGCAAAATTCCTCCCACTGACACCAACAATGAGGCACAGTTCCTCACAATGATGGGGCACAATTTCTCCCACTAACACGAACAATGGGGCACAATTCCTCCCAATGATGGGGCACAATTCCTCCCACTGACACCAACAACAAAGCTTTATTCCTCCCAATGATGGGGTGCAATTCCTCAAAATGATGGGGCACAATTCCTTTCAAGGACACACAGGATGGGGCAATATTCCTCCTAATGCCACCAAGGATGGGGCCACAGTCTGGCCCCCCAAAAAATCTGAAGGATAGTAAACTGGCCCTTTGTTTAGAAAGTTTGGAGACCCCTGCTCTAGGACATCTTTAGTGCTGTCATATACTCTTGTCCCAGAATTCCCCCTAACCCCCCTCCCCTCCAAACACACATACAATGTAAATGTACATATATTATATTTATGGAAGAGTTTCCTGAGAATTATGTTACAAGATTCTACAAGATGTCTTCTCTTTGTAAGAACCCATTCACACGTGTGCAACTTGTTATGCAACTTCAGATATTAAAGTCGCATGCCAAGTCATACCCCATGATTTCCAATGATAACTATTCATTTATGTGCGACTTAAAGTTGCAGCAACTTCCAAGTAGTTCGCTACTTTGGTCTGACTTTAATGCAACTTGAGGGCCATAGACTTCAATATGAACCCTCAAAAGTTTCATGAAAGTCGTACCTGAATGGTTTACATGCAAAAGAAGTGGTTCCGACTTTGCAGAAGGATAAGTCACACCCTTCCAAAGTTGTAACACACTTTGGAGTCGTACAAGTGTGAATGGAGCCTAATGGTTACTCCGGTTAGAGCAGGACTATAGACATACAAGAGTAAGGGCCGCTTCTTCTTCTACTTGGGTGATTTTAATGTAAACCCAACATCAGATATATGCTTTTATGTTAAGTGCATGCTTGCAAAGTAATATGTAAATGTAACACTTTCAGGTATTTATTACCTCTCACCTACGTAGATCACAGTACTTCCTATACATACCTTTATCTGCTTTTGCCATCAGAACACCAGAGCTATAATTATTCAGGCTTTTAGACTGAGATGCTGGCTCAGAGATGACACAATTATGTAAATTCTGGTTCCTGTTCAGTTTTTGTTTGTATTCACAAATGTTTGATACAGATCAGCCCCTGCTGCAACCTCTCACCTTGTAACTTACTCACAAGTTACATTGTTACAGGCTGATCACTTTAGGAAAGCGAGTACATGCTTCCCTCTGCCTGGAGCAGAGTGATGGCAGCATCTTCGCCTAGACCAAGTCAGCTGACTGGAGATTAAAACGGGACTAAACGCACCTATTTATCTTTCCCAAAAGAGCGCTTGTTAGAAATGTTTAATAAATTGAATGCCTAATCAGATATACTAGTGGTGTTTTCTGTACGGTTTTTATTTACATTCTACCTCCTAGCTCACATGTGGTATCACTGCACTGCTCTGTTCACAGTATGTAAAAAAAAAAAAATTGTAAAAAAAGAGACTTTTTTTTTAATTACATTACTGTCACCAGTCAGTGTCCCTGATTACCGCCACACCAATCAATATATGACTCTGTACTGCTCTGGTGACAGTATATAAAAAAGAAATTCTGGAAACAAAAAAATGATTTCAATTTTTTCTTCACTTTCCGAAAAATTGTGACAAAAAAATTACAACTTCAAAAAAACTTGCCACGCCTCTTACCTAATACCTTTGGATGTCTACTTTCCAAAAAGGGGTAGTTTGGGGGGGTATTTGTATTGTCCTGGCATTTTAAGGCATCAAGAACTGAGAGAAGTCTTCATTAAATCAGGATTTTACAATTTTCACTATATACCATAGTTTGTAGATGCTAGAACTTTCCAACACACTAAATAATTAACACTGATTTTAGTTATTTTTACCAAAGAAATGTAGCAGAATATATTTTGGCCTAAATTTATGAAGAAAGATAATTTATTTGCTAAATTTTATACCAGAAACAAAGAAAGATTTGTATTTTTTATCAGAAGTTTATAGAAGTAAAAAACCCAGTGATGATCAAATACCACCCAAAGAAAGCTCTAAAGAAAGGTCTCAAAAAAAGATAACTACATATTTGTACAGTGTTGCATAACTGAGTAATTGGTATTCAAAGTGTGAGAGTGCTGAAAGCTGAAAATTGGTCTGATTAGGAAGGGGGTGAGTGTCAGGTATTACAGTGGTTAATTATTGTACCATTTGCAGAAAGGAATATAAACACCCTGATCCACTGCCATACCAACCAAGATTTCTTTATAAGCTTCAAAAATACAACAGCATGCTTCTCCACATGACAGTATTGAAGACTACTCATATGGAAGAAAAATATATTTGAAATATCTGTCAATATATTTGGGAAGAATATTTTTAAAATATATTTGAAATGCTACAATTTTGGCCATATTCAATATATTTTAAAATATATTTGAAATATATTTTAAAAATATTCTTCTTAAATATATTGACATATATTTTTCTTCCATGTGGGTAAGCTCTGGAGCAAATGCCCTTGAAGAGTGCAACTGCACTTGCAAAGTGCACAATCTACTTGCCTTTAGTAAATCAACCCCTATGAGTCTTTAGCACAAACAGACTAGTCTTTTAAAGAAGTTGAGAATGCTCATATAATACATTGTGCAAAATGTCACTTCAAATCTAATCTTGTGAAAAGCAAATTCATATTTAATGATTTCATCTTCACATGATGGGATAATAGAATTGAACATTCACACAATATTTTGTATGCACATTCCCAACTCCTTTAGTAATCCAGCCTCCATGTATGTATGCAACTAGGGCAGACAGTACAGTACACCTAACCTTCATATATCTCTGGCCAAACGGTTTTATTGAAGTGTACTTTTTCCTGCCTGCCAGGGAGCTGCCATATTGCTGGAAATCAACCAATGGAGCTGGATAAACTGGCATGGCCTTGTTCACTACCTCCTGCTACATCCATTAGCTGTGTAGTGCAATATTGACATTTTTCCCATGTATTACATCACATTACTATTAATTAGCATATTCAGGACTGCTATTAGAAAATATGGGGTCCTTTATAGCCTACCTGACAGGGCCCCTCCAAATATCAAAACAATATTTTGACTAAAAATACACTAAAATTATTATTAGCAGACACAAACACAACATAACTTACTGCAGACAAGTCCATTTATATCTGCTTGTTAATACAGATACATGGACCATCAGATCTGATCTACCTAGATGGAGGGGAACGGATCTCTGTCCATTTTGTTTTTTTAGTGGATCGGATTGTAGGTAGGCAGGTGTAAACCGACACAAGTCTGTTTAAACCCCACCGGTCCATAGACATACATGGACCATCCTGTAAAACGTACAGGCGGACCTGATCAGATCATCTGTGTGAAAGTGGCCAAAGTCCTGTGAGCCTATATTCGTTGAACGTGCTTGAATTGCTTTTTCTCAGCCAGCCAAATAAACCTACTTCAATGAAGCTCCTGCCTGGTG